CAATGACAAATAGCAATTGAGGCATTAATCGTGCGAATAAATCAGACCGTACATATAATAAACTTGTTTTTCTTATGGGTGACATTAAGTCTGGGCGCAAAACTGAATTTTTTTTTTCTTATTATTTTGCCGTTCATTTTCTTCTTTTCTTTTAATCACGAAAACAGATATTTTATTCATGAATCGCTGTGTGCTCTGTGAGACTTGCTCTTTTTTTCTTCTTCTTCTTCTTGTTTTAAAAGTGTACATGAGTGTTTGTATATTAAATGTTATAAATATACATGCTATTATTTTTACAATAAAAATGTATCCTCTCAGCTTAATTGATATACTTACAAATTATTCAGACAACAAAATGAAAATAAAATGTGGTTAATGTCGTGTGTGAATATTTTGATGTATTATTTTCTGTTGTTATTTTTTTTTCCTCTCGTGTCTTCCTTCCTTTTTGACAATTAATTGTTGCCCGAAAAAAAAAAAAAACAAAGAGATGAGAATCTTCTGCTGTGCCTTTTTTATCTTCTTATAAGGTATCTCTTTTAACTCTTTTTGTCGCCGTTTTTAAAATGAATTTGAATTTTTCTCATGTGCAGAGATTGCATGAATAGATAGATTCAGGTCTTGGGTATGCCTCTCGTCTTATATGCGATGTGTGTGATGTGAGTAAGGTATATATCAGGTGATGAATGTGAAATGCTGCTCTCTCTCTATCTATCTATCTCTATGTTATTTTTGACTTTGATGTATGCAAACGTGATGGCACTGGACTTGTCTTGCTGACTCAATGGTGTTTCCGGGATTTCTCGCGGGCGCGATTTTTTTCTTCTTTCTATATATAAATTCTTTTATGCTCGTCACAACTTTGATAGATTTTCTTATTATAATCACGGTTCTCACACAATTGCCGCAATAATTTATATCATATAATTTCATTAGAATTATTCTTCTTTATATGAACATCATATGCCACACTATTTCTTTAAAGATCTTTTTTTCTTCTTAATATAAAAGATCTTTTTATATTTTATTTTATTTTTTTTAAATGAAGAATTTCTTCTTTTCCTCCTCAATATGGGCCTTTTTTGCGAACTCGTGAGACTCGAAATAACATAAACTTAATAAAAATGGCTTTTAAAAAACCAACAAGTTATAAAAATCAACTTTAAATGATAAATTGCCGACTTCTAATGTTGCACTTTGACAAAGCACCGATAAATAATTTAATTAAAGCACGCAAATAAATAAATTAGTTGAATTTGATTTGCACAGTATCTTTATCTGTTCTTGTGTTTTTTACGACTGCCACTTACAGATTGTTTCTGCTCTATGCTCGAAATTGTTTTTGACAATGCTTACGGCGTAATTTTTGAGGCTGGACTTGAATTTTTCACTGTCGTTATGACGTGACGCAGCATTGCAATACCTTATCCTAATTATTGATGACTATTTGATGACATATCAATGTTTTTTGTTGTTAAGGAATTAAATTTGAATATTTTACGCCTAATTTGGTGCAAAGTGTACAAAATAATCTTAACATTGATTTAATTTCAAGATTTTTAATTTCGCAAATCTATTAACGGTTTTTAAATATTCAAAATAAAATTTCAACTTCCTAAAATACGTTAGCGCTCGATTGCATAATCGAAGTGAAATTTCATTCATAAAAAAACTCGTAATTAGTGATAAGAAGTTCCTTCTTTGTTGTATGAACTTAAATGAATTCGATTGTCTAATTTTAGAATATTAATGAGACGGTATTACGTGATCCGTCTCAGTGCAAATGTTGGTAAAAGTTATTTAAATATTTGCATTTGTATGATAAGGCGGTTGATGGCGTTCTCTTTACCAAAAAAAGATTATGAAAATATTTACGAATATTTCAATAAACTGTAATCTAAATAAGCAGCACGCGCTAGACTAAATGCCGTCATGCTTTAAACGGATTCGATGATCTGTGATTTTCGTCGACAATTATCACATGAAATTCCTTTATTTATCATTTACATTGTTATCTCATACAATCATCATTCATATTATCTTATTAGCACGTGATTGCTGAGATAACTAGCTACTCGAGACTATTTTTAGAAGAGTGGAAATTTTACGTACGAGTAGTATTTCATCTTATGTACGCACATTGTATATGGCTTCATTCATTAATCTTTAATTAGATTGATTAAGCTTATGTAGCATGACTATTGCTTATTTGCTTTATTCCGGTTTAATCATCTTTTCTATGTGGTTAGCAGTTTTCTTATCTTTATAAGAAGGTGTGTCTGAGTTAATTTTTTAAATTAAGCTTATCTAAAGAACAGAATTCTCTAAAGATAGATTTTACAGCGTCTGACGCAATCCTTTCACTTTCCTTACTTAAAATTAAGTTTTAAATGGACTTAAGATCCTTATCTTGAGATAGCTTAAGACTTAAATGCTACATTGAAAATTCATTATAAGATCATTATCGCAAAGCTGCATTAAATTACATTTAACAATGTTTTATTGACGTCTTGTTTTTATTCTCTATTCATAACTTATAGGAATTGTAAATCGATGATTAAGTTGTGCAAAGAAACAATTAAAGTTCTTAGGAACGCATTGTTTTAACAAGTTCCAAATATTTTGATAATGAGTTGTTCCTCGGTAATTTTTTTTTTTAATAAAATGAGTCTTAATCACATGAAATTGACGAAAAACTTAAGTACATTTAGTTTTGGGCTAAGAAACATTTTTGAAAACTCTGAAAACATCCCGACAATTTAACAGGTGCATTGACGAATCTTAGTGACGTCTTACAATGTGTTAAGTAATGCAATTTTACTAAGAATTAAGATTGAAAATTCCCCTAAAACTATTTGATGTTTGTTGTCATCATTTTAAAAACAAAGCTTTGTATTTGGACATGGTTTGCAAAACACCAAAATCATTATGAATATTTTAAATGTTTTAACTTTAATCAACAAAGATCTTGATCTCTTCTTGTTAATACAAGCAATGCCAAGCTTAAATCTAGATTTTTGGTTTTTTCACTTAAACTTATAAGTTTGATAACGATTTTCAAGCATATTCAAAGATTTAATAATTTTTAAAAATTTAAAAATCTCTTAAATGAAAGCTTTAATGTTAATTAACAATGTTGCTAATCTTAGCTTCAAGATTAAAACCTCAAACACTTAAATGCCTTGAAAGTGCAAGCTTAATCCAAAATTCAATTAATTACACCATCCTTATCCACTTAGGTGAGAGGTCTGATACCATAAGATTTTTAAAAACCCCAAACTTAGTCAAATAAACCGTCTTATCACATTCCTGACTAATTCATCAGATATCAGATTTAATTCTTAATTTCAAATTTTCGTGTATGACAAATTTAATCTAATTTAATTAGCGATAAAAATAAAATCTTCTTGCACGTTTTCTAAATGCGCAGTTTTTAAATTAATCAAAAAAAATACTTACAGCTCAAAATCTAAGGAAATCCTTTGGTTAGATCACTTTTAAATATCACACTTTTCTCGTGTCTTAAATTTCTTTAATTTATCTTCTTTTTTCTGAATTATCAAGTCACATTTAATTAATTATTATTTGTTATCACTCATTTAAATCATTCTTGAATGGAATTCCTTTCAAGCTTGATGATCAAGAAAAAAAAAATATTTTTCTTTTTTCCGCACTTCTATCTCTTGAGATGTTACTTGTTCAATGTTTCTGTGAAAATTCAAGAAATCGGATAGAATTATCTCGCAATATATACTAGGAAGAAAAGATATTAAGTTGTTATCTACGCTATTATTACACGTTAACACATCTTCAGAAAAAAAAGCTGCAAAGCTTACTCATCGCACACAAGCAAAAAATAAGAAATAAAAAAAAGAAAGAGTGTCTGGAAAGTTAAAAGAAATGAAAAGCATATTATGCTGATATATGTCACGTATAATTTGATGCTGAAAGTGGTGATGAAAAGGATTCGTTTAAAAGTTCCGTAGAGATTCAGGACATTTTTTTTGAAGTTATGTTCAAATAATTTATTTGAGCTTTTGGAGGTTTTACTAAGTTTAGATTGTTGTTGAAAAGCTTATGTTTTCAGTCTGATAATATTTCTGTAAATCACTAAAAGCTGCAAGCTGCAAGGACGTGTAGGTTTTCAATTGAGGTTTGAAGATTTAAATTGTTAATTTGTCAAAAGAATGTGATAAACTTTGTTGAGCTTTACAACTGGTAGAATCAAGCTATCATTTCAGTTTAAGAAGACACAGCACCAAACCATTACACTTTATCCGAGCTCCTTTTGCTAGAACCTCTCAAAAATGAATAAAGATTAAACATCAAGCTATTAATAACTCTAAAACCCAAATGATTCACAACTTAACAACCAAGAATAAAACACCAAAAGCAGAACAAGCGCCACCTTAATTAATACCTGATTCACACATCTATAAGCGCTACAAAACTTACAAAAATTAATCCAACCAAGGAAAAAGTCATCAAAAATGCTCACGCTGTAAATTTTCCATCGTCATAAAATTAAATGTCATAATTCATATCATCAAGTAAATTGACATTACTTCTGAATGCTGTCGATGCAAAGGATTATCACAATTCCAACTGTGTGGAAATTTTCAACACGTTTTTTTATAGCTTCTCTCGAGATCCTTTAATTAACCACATGCTGTGCTCAGAACCTGAACTAATCAGAGGATTATAGTTAATAGACTATTGACGAGCAACATTGTAATTTACGCAAAAAAAGTGACGCAAAAGGGGTTGTGTGGCGTCTCGTTGAGAAATTTATAGCTCAATATTTTTCTTTGTGACTGCAAAGTGAACATAAATATAAATTGACATTCAGATGAGTTTAATACATATTTTTTTTTATTATTAAAGATTTCATTTCCAATTTAGTCTAAATTTATTCACATTCAAAGCTCTTTGATTCATTTATTATTTTATCCGACATAATAATACGTCGGGGACACAAGAAAATTTATAGACACCGTCATTTATGAGCAATTTTGCTTTTGAAGTGGATAGGATGATAGATTATTTGAATAGCTTGTTATAGCTGTTGTCAAAAAATCACATGTTGCATATTTCTTGCCAATGTTTGTTATTGGTGAACAGCAGAGATTTACGTCAACGTCTTGTTGTTGCATTGGTGATTCCTTTCCCAGTGAATTTTGGTACCTCAACTGCTCAAGTCGTAGCTGATTCTGTCGTTTCCATTTTGTCCTACGGTTCTGAAAGTTGATTTTATAAATGAGTGGAAAAAATATTAATTATTTTAGTAATTAGGGCAACAATGTGCTTAGTAAGAGAAATTTTAAATTATGAGTCAGTCATTTAAGGAATGAATGAATTGTAAATGAATAGTAAAAATAGATTCGAATGAACTAGGTAGACACAATAATGATTAATTTTTTAAAAGTTCATGTCAAAGATTCTAAAGAAGTCAAGTTGATTCCAAATCCAGAATGACAATCAGATACTTACTTGATACCACGTTTTAACTAATTAGTAATGAAAAAAAAAAATATCCATGTTATAAAATCACATTCAATCATCAAAAATCAAATCAAATTCACCTTGCGTCTCTGACAAATTTAAATGCGATGCAACTTCTCCACGATCAGCGACGGATAGATATTTTTGACATCGAAATTTTCTTTCTAAATATGCTAATTGAGAATGGGTGAAAGCAGTTCTTCGTCGTCGTGATCGTTTTAGTGTTCCTTTATTTGCTAATAATGTTAATTGTTGAGTCTGATGTTGATTTTCTTGTATGTTTGCGTAAATGTAATTGAAATTGTAGTTGTCTTCGATTCCGATATCAATCTCTTGTCCATCATTTGATAAATCTGTAGAAATTTCATAAAATTGAAGAATTGTTCAAGTTATCGGGACAGTTTCATCAATTTTCAGTTTTATTTATTAAATCAGTTAAAATTTGAATTTAAATTCTCGTTCCGAACAAAAAATTGACAGTTTTATGGTAAATTCAAATAAGAGAAAGTCACAACTTGATAGTCAAGAATGCATACCGGAATATTCAAACTAATCATCTTCACAATGATAATATATGATCATCCATTCAGGAATCCTACAAAATCTTCAAACATCAATCATACATGATCGACAGCAATTGAATGCTTCGTTAAAGGCTCGTTAAATAAATTATATAGAAAAACATTGAAACTTTTTCCACTTCTATTTCCATTTCTATGGGTTCTCATTAATTAAATTAAATGTTTAATTTATAAAATGTAATAAAATCTCAAAAAAATAGTAGATGGTACTCAAATAGAAAGGTAAGTTCCTTGTTTGTTAAATAAATTTTCATGTTAGTATATTTTGGTGATGTTTTACAGTAAATTAGTAAACAAGGATCAAAAAACTAGCCATATCAATTAACATGAACAAAAATTACAATGATCATCATAACAATGCTAATAATACAGAAGGAATCACACAAAGCGATGCAATATCCCCTAGATTTCGAAATGATCTGACAAACAATGAAGCTATTCTTAATTTTTGTTACTCATGTAAACTAGAATTTACGATAAGAAATGTACATGACTTAATGGAACATTACTCAAAACCACATGAGAGGTTTAGTTCGTACTGCCTTTATTGTAAAACTGGAAAAGTTCATCAGTACAAAAGCGATGTGAAAGGCATTCAATTCTATCATGATTGCTACCGATCGAGAATGAATTACGATAAATAATTCAAAGAATTAGCATTAACTCCAAATCTTCCATGAACTCATTATTTCGAATTGAATTGTCATAAACTATTTAAGGAATTTAATTCGCGTCATGTATGAGAATTAAGACTGACTAAATAGTGCAATTGATTGATTATTTTAATTGCAGTTACATATTAGAAATTTTTATTATGCGTGAGGCTACATGAAGGTCGCAAAAAATTACTTCTTATAAACATCAATTGATCCGAACTTCATGTACATATATAGCAAGTATTAATTTGTTTCTGTTTTTAATATATTAATGTTACCAAAGATATTATTCAATTGTCTATCAATAAACTTCAAAATCACAAAATAGAAACGTTGTGACATGAAAAAGACTCCAAAAATAAATTGAAATATTATTACAAAAAAAAGTAACTGTTTTCTTCCAAAAACTATGTTTAACAATGACTTTTCATTTAGGTGCTGCAGAACGGTGATTTTGGTGATTGTTTGATTAAAGATTTGGAGTTGTTCTCAGTTTACATAATCACACTGAAATCGAAATCAGCTTTTCAAATTTGAGTCTTTAATATAAATCTAAGTTTGTTCAAGTTTTGTTACAACTATTCTCAATCTCCATAACAATTGTCAAATCTATATAAGTTTAAGCACGAGAATATTAAAAATCGGGTTTGGTACCAGGTTGTTTTTAATTTCAGATCAAATTTGGACTCAACTAGCCCCAAGATAGCTATTCAGAATTGTTCTCTTCATACATCAGCAGAAAGAACGATTTAATAACTTCGATTCAATCTTGAACTCAATACTTTTAAAAAACGCATTTTCAATTCGTTATGAATTATTGTCTCCCTGCAGAGAAATCTTATGATAACTTAAACATGATTGGTATCACGTACCAGCGGTTATGTTATGGAATTTTCTATAATTTACCTAATATAGATGGAGCAATTAAAAAGTGAGCAATTTTATGAATTCCGTCGCTGAATGATTCTATGATCAAGTATAATAATGATGAATCTCTTTAAGAATTGATATTTACTGTTTTTCTTAGGTCTTTTAATGTTATACCTAATTGCAATTTACTTCTTTGCTAATGCATCAAAATATTTGAGGAATAATGTTTTGCCAAATTGTATATATTTCTAAAATTACTACATAAGACAATTAATTTGTGATATCTAGGCTAGTGCCACAATTATTGATTAATGATTTGTTTATAAATTCTTAAAATTGGTTTTTAAATTTAAATTTTCTCAAATGATTGTTTGTAGTTCTCATTCAAAACTTTTCAGCTGTAAAATTGATTATTTGAATCATTAATTGAGCTCTCAATTGCTATAGCTCAACTTAAATCAAAGAACTTTCCACTAATTTCCTAAACAATAGCAAGCATGTCTATCAATCAATGAAATTCAACTAGAATAGAAGAATAAAGGCATATCTCTGCATGACTTTACATAACGTTCTATTCCTCCAAGGCATAAAGATAACTGATGTTTTATTTAGCACAAATGAATGACTACAAAAACCGCATTCAACTTGCTTAAGTATCTGTACATTCTAATTAAATTTATTTTATGCAATATTCCTTTTTGAAATGAATTGAATGAGATGAAGAGAATCTTGCGTGTGTCTATTTCTATATCACTCTGATTTTTTTATTTTTCATAAAAGAACTCTCACTGTTTTTGCACGTGACGAAAAAGAGGTCTCATACAATCGCTACGTATATGGAAGAAAATAATGATCCATTGTTCTATTTTTATCAAGCAATCAAGATATAAAGGCAAGAAGGCACTTGAAAATCAAGTGAAAAAATTATTCAACGTATGTTTTTTTGTGTAAGAATAGGATGTGCATCAACTATTGGCTTTTGCACATCCACTCGACTCTTTAATAATCCACTCGATTTTGATTCGAGGGTTATTTTTATTCACATATGAAATTTTAATGATTTTTCAGATAGGTAGCTGAAGATTCACATATTTTGAGGAGGTTTCATTCACTAATGACGTCTAAAAATGGATCAAGGGTTTTAAGAGACATTGTTAAACTTAAGGGTGCTTATGGAGGCCATGATCACATATAAAATGACAAAACTTCTTAATTAAGAATCAGTCACCAAAACCATTGCTAAATCACTTAATCCACAGCTTTAAACTTTCTTCAACTTTCCTCCATTAAATATAGACGTCATAAGTTCACGGTTCCTTAAAAAATCGTCTTCAATTCATTTTATTGCTCACTCAAATCTTTATGTAAATTTTTTCGGAAGCAATCAGGAGCTGTAAAATTATTTCAACACGCTCGTGGCTAAATTTTATGCAAATTTCAAAAAGATTTTTAAATTATGTCAAATCATGATGTAAGAATGACTTATTTATGTCTTAAATTGTTTGTTGATGACTATTTTGTGACATGAATATAAATATTTATGGATGAAGCTGAGGGTGAGAATGTTTATGCCCTCAAGGAATATTAATTCAAATTCATATCGACACAACTTGCTTGATTGTAATTTAACATTACCACTATCACTTGTCTCATTATGATCAGCGTTTTTGGTTATTAAATCTCTCAATAAATCCCGAATTAAGAATGACTTTTGATTAGAAGCACTTTGATTTTGATCCATATTGATGTTATTGGATATGATACTTATTTAAATTATTTAACTTTTCCAACTTTCACAGCTATCCAAAATCACAATTTATCGCTCGTTTTGTGGTTTTAAGACTAAATGCTTGCAAAACGTTTTTTAATTTGTTTTAGTCCTTTTTTTTGCAGATATATCATATGCTAAGGATAATATTTTATATTTCCATAATAGCGAGTGAGCTGTGATTCGTTGAAAATATTATTGTGGGTGGATCTAAAAAGAAAATCATTCTGTGAAGGAATGAAGATGAGAGAAATATTTGGAAAATACTTTTTGATGAGATTTAAATGGAATTAGTGTGGTCTTTAATTGATTTGAGGTGCTTTTGATGAAATTTATTAAAAATTGCTTCAAATTTTCAACAAAAATCCGAATTAATCAAGTTTTTTAAATATCAATTGTCTTTTGAATTTATCTATAAAGTCGAGTAGCTTTCGTTAGCTATTTTGGAGTTATACTTATCAACTAAAGCTTTGAACATCTATCAGCAACAGTTCCTACAATCTCAGGAAGAAAATCTAGACTTTATTGAATGACATTAATGCAAAATAATGTCATTTAAGTCTATCAGTTCTGAAATATCTGAAAAAACTTAATGTCAAACAGCAGCTTTACCAAGCTAGTGAATTTCATATTCCTTAAAGAATTCCATCAACTTCCATTCCAACAAAACAACAACACCTATTCAGAATTATGATTGGTCAACAACGTTCTTGTATGATAAACTCACAAATACTGCAGAGCATCATATTTTTTTTTTATTTTCACGGTAATTGAGATTTTAAGAGATGTTTGTGTTTTTGTTGGAAGCAGATCTCATCTATTATCTGCTTAATTTTCATTTCATAAATGTTGAGTGTTCAGGCTTTGAATTTTAATGATTGTACATGATATCATTAATTTTCTGTAATTTAGTTTGAATTGAGAGTCTTTTCATGAGTGAATAAAGCATTCCTTGATTTTTAGAGTGCGTAATTTTTTTTCAGCAAATCTTTATTCATCGTTATTCCATATGCTTAAAGATAATTTTCAATTTATAATTTTATCATAAAGGAAAAAAAAACTTTCGTGATTTTAAGTTAAAATTGTGATTTTTTAAAAAAAAATCAATTGTGTGAATATCAATATTTTAATGTACGAGCTTTTTACATAATTTACGTCCATTTCTATTTGTTTGAGATTAGGATATATCCATTAATTTAGTTTTAAAAATTATCATTAATTACCTGTTTTTTTTTTAAAAAAAACTCATTTAAAAGTTCTTCTAGTAATCAATCTGTTAAAAAGCAAGCTTCAAGCTGATTTATAAGTTCTAAACTTGAATATTGCAAACTTTATAACTTTTTGATTACTAGGTTTCTAAGAGTCAACCTCACAGAAATTGTCATAATAATCTTAAATTATCATCTTATTCTATTGCATATATTGATATTCAGCAAACATCCTTAACATTAAGAAACTTAGAAAGCAAGTTTGAAAAAAGTTTTGAATATTTTTAATTATTTTTCCAGTTACTATGTCCACGTTGATTGGGCATTTGTTGTGCATTTGCCAGCATTTCCAGATACTGACGTTGCATGTCTAATGCTCTTTGCATATCTAGAGCCATGTTTGATGAGTTCTTACTACTCGGCTTGGATGAAGCTATTGGGATTAGAAGAGTCGATTAGAATTCAAGTTTGATAAGGAATTGAGTAGCAGTGGCTTAATCAGGCTAGGTTTTGGCCTTAACGATTAAGTCTCCAGGTCAAATCTAGAGATAAAGCTCTTATTGCTCTTGCTACACCAACATTTAAGAGTAAACTTACATTTTGCTTTAGTGCTCGGAGCTTGTTGCTGTTGAGCTGCTGCGGCAGCTTGTGCCATAGCCAATTGATAAGAATATAATAATGGACCAAACTGCATCTGTGCAGCCAAATTCTGAGCTTGATTATTTGAGGACATTCCTGAATTTAAAAAAACCAAATAATTAATTTAAATAAGATCTTTCAAAATTCATTAAGTCTTACCTCTGAAAAGCTGTTGCTGAAATGCTTGCATAGCAGCAGCAGCTTGTGACTGATTTCCAAAATTTCCCATATTAGACAAAGATCCCAAATTGCCAAAGTTGCCTAAACTAGCAAGACTACTAAGGGCATTAAGTTGAGCTGCAAAACTCATGCTTGACATTGGATCATTTGCTGCTGCCGCTGCAGCAGCAGCTGACGAATGACGTGATGAATTTCTCGATGAATTTTGAGATGATGGTGGTGGAGTTTGTGTATTATTAGTCGGAGGAGTTGGTGCAGGACGAGATGAACGTGATGGTGTTGTATCCATTCGTTCCATTCTTTCCATTCTCTCCATTCTGTCCATACGTGAATTCTGAACTGGTGCTGGCGAATTAGCAACTGGTGCTGTTTGAGGCGTTTGAATTTGTGGCTGAATCGTGACACTTGGTGATGGTTGTGGTGTGGCTGGAGAATGAATCGAATAGTCAGTTGCATTATTCGATGAGCTTTGTGATGCCATGCGCTGTTCTATTTCTTGTTCTTGTTGCAATGCTTTAACAAAAGCGGCCTTCAAACGATTTGTATGCTCAGCTTTTAGAGCCTTCTTAACATTTGTTGTGACACATGATTCACAAATTATACGAGGTGCTAAAAAAATTAAGACATTATATAATCTATACGAATCTAAAATTTAATTAGAGCATGAAGAAGACTTACTTTGATCAGCACCCGCACGTTTATCTTTTTCCATCTTCCAGACTGGAGTAAAATCGATCTTACATTGTGCACAACGGAATGGCTGCTGTGGTTGGGGTGTAACTTTCTTATCCTTTGTCAAATAATCGACAACATGCTCCAAACCCAATAAATAGACAAATTCTCCGTTTGCTGGATTTGGGATGAAGTGCATCTCTGGCGGTGGGGGCTGAAATTCAAGAAAAGTATAAGTTTAGGAATTCCTGAATATTGCTATAATTCTTACTTTTGGTGGTGGGATTTGAAGCAAAGTCTTTTCCAATTGCTTCCTTAAAGCAAGCTTAGCTGCTGCTTGCTTCTGTGCAGCCGTTTGATTATCTTCCATTGAATTTCTTGAAGATTGGTTCATAGATGTATTCTGGCTGATCGAAATCGATGCAGTCGGGGTGATGGAAACTGAATTGTTCAAATTCGAGTTTTGTTGCTAAAAAATAGACTCGATTAATATTTTATAAATAAGGTTTCAAGACTATATGCTTACATTTTTAGTCTTAAGATTCATAACCGGACCAGAAGTCGGTGTGATAGTAACTGATGGAGTAATTGACAAATTTGATGAAGACCGTCCTTCAAGAACAGTTTTTCCTTGAATGAAAGGAGTTCTTGATGAGGTTCCAGTTGTAAGAGTTGCTCCACCTGGCAACGATTGACCTCTTGGTAATGGAAAGCACTGAGCTTGGTCATTGTATGATGACTGCCTGTTTGTGGTCTTATAATCAGTTGGAACCATGTTCGTGGGGATTACAGTCAAGCTTCCCTTCGAAAGCATCGATAATGGATTATTATAATTTGATGTTAGGTTTTGAGCACCATGTGAAAGATTGGCTGGAGTCTTATTCTCTTTCATAACTTGTTGTGAATGCTTAATTTTCTTAAGCAGAATTAATTTGGTTTCCTCATTCCTCAATTCTTCTCTCAACTTTCGAAGTGTACGTTCTCGTTCCCATATTTCAGCTGCAGACAATTCCTTGAATTCAACTTCAGGCATTGGGGCATCGTCATCATCATCATCTTCCGAATCATAATCTCCATTTGACTTTTCAGCACCGTTATTAAAATTTATATCCGGTGATTCAATTTCAGCATAAGACCGTGGTTCAGTTCTTGGTCTTAAGACTCTTCTTGGGTATCTAGTTTCACTCTGACTTCCATTTTCATTATTATTACTTGATGGATTAATTGGAGTCGCTGACGCCGTGCTAATAGTTGCACTCGGTACAATATTATTAATATTATTGGTATTGTTATTGTTAGGGACAATCGTTGGGATTATTGTTAATCCCTCAGGAATCGAAAGATCCATTTTCTTCTCTTTTCCTACTTTCCCCCAAAAAAATCAAATCAATTCAGCTCTCTGTTTATTTTTTTCCGAAATCGGTGAATTTTCTTTTTTAAAATTTCCACTTAATCGGATAAAAAGTTCCTAAACTTTACTATCAATAGATTTATCATGTGCTATATTTACTATTTATGAAATTTTTATTTTAACTTTGTCGGTTGAAAGCAATAGTTTTTAAAAAATGGAATTTTGTAAAATTCCTGTTGTCAATTAACACTAATGTAGGTGATGTAAAATGGGGTGTCGCTTGATATTCTCCATAATTGAGATTCTCGGGAGTGGCGGGAATTTTGTTTTGATTTTTTTAATTGATTTAGGAGATTAATATTGGTTGAAAAGATGTTGAGTTGATGGATTTGATTAGAGATTCTGTCCTTTTGTACTTGATGTTGGGTGGTTCTAGAAACAATTTGAAATCTTTTATGAAATTTCCTGCCATTTGAGCTAAAACCTAAAACCACATCCTCAACAGGCAGTCGAACATCAAAGACTATCAAATTATAACTGAATTAATCCAAAATAAAGGTTTCCATCATTTGGGTATTTATATAAAATGGAGAATATAGACATAACCTAAAAAGCTGAATACCAACACATGCAAACAATAAAATTTTCTCTTCTCATTCTGATCTACAACAAGCACCAAAAATAGGAAATAATTCAAAAATTCGCTTATTCAAATAATTTTATTCAATTGTTCTAGTCAGGATTTTGTCCACAAAATATATTTAAGCTGAATATTAATAAAAGTTGAAATTCCATCATAGTGTTGGTTGCTGAATAGCTCAGGTGTCATCCGGTAGAAAAATACGAAATTAAACCTTATCAAAATTCTATTTTAAGTAAGCATTAAAGTTTGAAAATTATTTTGAAAAGTTTGTGGAATTTAAATTTAAAAGTCGAATTATCAAAGTGAAATAAATCAGCAAAATTATTTAAAGAGGTTTGTGTAATTCCTTTCTAATTAGTCATCGACATAGGATCTATAAAGTCGTACAGCAAAGTTTTTCATCAAATGCTTTCCAACATAAAAAAATTAATGATTTTTATCGGAAAAAATCAGTTTTCGATTTGTTGATTAATTTATTTTGATAGCTGACTGTCTTGTGTAGCGAAATTAATTTAATTAAATAAAGAAGTGGAACCAATTGTGACGGAAAATTAAAATTATAAAATCCTGATGGAAAATTGAGTGAAAAATCGAAGACGAAAAGAGAGAAAAATTTTTTTATAGTGTAGTGAAAAATTGTGAAAATTTGTAGACTGGCGAATATAGTCTTATCTAAAGTGTTTTACGCAATCAGAACAATCATAACAAGTGTTATTCAATTGATCAAATAATAATTTTAAAGTAAGTAAATGACAAAATTTCCAATTTTTTAAGTGCTCAAATATAAAATGAGTTTCATAATGAGAGCACAGGTAGAGCGAAGGAAAATGGACATATCATGATATCAATTTTCCATTTTTTTCGTCTCTCTTTCATTGGGGAATTTTTATGTCAAAATAAATGAGATATTGATTTACTTATTTTGGCAATTTCACGTGACGACTTGCCCGTAATTTAATTTTACTATACGAATCTCATCAGAAATTAATCTTTTGACCTTAATGTTTGTGAGCTGCCCGAAAAAAAAAAATCGTCACTAGGTTCGCTCTTATCAAAAAAGAACTCACACTCCGGAACAAAACAACCTGCTTTAAAAAAAATCATTTCCATTATTTTTGCCTCCTCACTTTTTTTTGTATATTGTTAAATAAGGCACCACGGTTTTATGTTTAAACATTTTCATGCACTCGCGATAATGAGAAAATAAGGTATGAACGTATGCATACGTAAATGAAGCTGAAAAAAATGTAGATTAAGAGTTTTTTTTTGTAGCTTTAATAATTAATTATAGACCATTTAATTAGACGTGACATCCTTTCATTTAAAATATCGCGCGTGGTTTAAATGATGTCATTGTCGAGATCAGAAATTATAATCATCCGTTCCAATTTATGGCTTTGCTTTTTGAGGGTTAGTCGTAAATGATGTTCATTGATGTCTATTCTAGTTTATTTTGAGAATCAGCACACCCCCCCCCCCCAAATTTTTAAAATTATTCAAAATTCAGCTTGAATTTAAAACCAGCTCAGCAACTTTTTCGACTCCTCTAAACTCATCATACGTCATTATCTTCATTAAAATAAATTCTGTCAATCCGATGCTGCGAAAAAAAACCAAATGTGATAATGACTTTAATCTGCTCAACTTCTTACATCATTTTATTTATTTATTTAATTTTTGTGCATTAGAAATTTTATGTATTGTTTGGCTATTTATACTGTATTTAAATATATATCCATTACGTTGAACTCACATGCACATGATTGATATATAATATGAAAAAAAAGAGAGCGACAATAATTGGGAGTTTGCTCAATGTCAAACATACGCACCTTATATCTTTCTCTTTTCAATTAAACTCTCCGATTCAGACTCATAAATTTATAAAATAAAAAATAAAATGTATGAAATAAATATGAAAAAAATAAAATCATACACCTTCACATGTTCACGACTTTGCTGATAATCGGCTCATTGCGAATAGATGAAAATAAATTTTTCCTCCCTTTTTTTTTGTTGATAAAAAAATATATTTTTTGAGAGAATTTGAAGTAAGGTAATATCTTGAAGCGAAATACCTGCTTATATACATCATATAAAGTTCTTGTTTCATCACGTTGATTATATCAAAGGAATGAAACAAGTGATGTATGATGGAATGAGGTTAAAGTGTATGTACATAAAGTAGACGAACATATACTCATGTGTATTGCTCATTATTGAGGGATTAAAACGGAGATTAACCTTTACGTGCTTTTTTTTCCAACCAACATAATATTCTGAATATTCAAAAATTTTATCGTATCTACATGAAATTTCGCCAAATCATTAGGTAGCATTCATTCATTCATAATTTTTTATGTGTGTATATTATTATTATATCGGACCCTGGGCTATAAAAATATTTTTTTCCTTTCTTTTTTAAGAGAAATGAACGAAATAAAATAAAATAAAAAAAATAATAATGTGAATCTTCTTTTCGGGGGGTTATTCAGCAATGATGTGTATGGAATTATAGTTTTGATTTGAGGCAATGTTAAGATGAGGGAGTAACCAGATATATTTCTTGGAGAGGAGGGGGAGGGGGGGGGGGGGGGTAGGGGTTGGTAATCAGAAATGTGGCTGTGTAATCTTGAAAACTAATCTGTCTTGGGCATCACATTAGAGTCGCTAGGGTTGCTTAGGCTACAGACACTACATATATAAAGGACAGAAAACTTAAGCTTTTCCTGAGTCTGTATGTTGCTGTGAAATGTCTCCAAAGACTTAGAGGTGCCTTGTAAACGCCATGATGCATTTCTGACTCAAAAAATTATATTTTTCTCACTGTTCTACTAGAAAGTTGCCAATATTCTTCAACAAATTAGTTTCTAAGTTATAACCCAAATTAGACATGATTTACGGACAACGCCAATTTTTTTCGCTCCTCTGCATATGTTATCTCTTAAAAAATCATCTTTCACGTTACGTTCACAAAACATTTTTTTAAATATCAAAAAAAAAACACATTATTTTATGGATGCGATACAACTGTTCTTATGTCAAATGAAAATTAAAATCGAGAGAGAGAAAAGGAAGAAAGAAATTAAAAGTTGAGAATATAAATTCATTGCTCGTTGCGTTACAGCTCTTTATTGGTTTTTCGTTTTCTATTAAACACAACTACTTATCGTACATTTTCAAGTGGGCACGTAAGGTTTATTAATTTAACGAAGAGATACAATATAATGTCTATTAAGCGCTTTAAAGGTGCGAAACTTGTGTACACACAAGACTTCTTCTTCTTCTCTTCTTTGCATTTTAACTAATATTGAAATTTAATTGGCATATTCATTTTTATTAATTTGAATATGTAAGCATTTAAGACTTCGCAACTCGTTATCATCTTAATTTGAATACTTTATGTACATATACACCTATACAGATACTTCCTAAGCTCAATTCAATCTCAGAGTTGTTATCTTGACTTTATCTTGTTTACTTTCAAAGTGGTATGCGATATAGATATCTAATACATTTAGTTTCTTTAAACATGAATTTACATGCACGACTATATCATGTTAAGTCTAAAGTCTAGACTTTTTATCTCATTCAGGTGGCTAGTTTATTTTTCATTTATTTATCAGTTCACATAAACAAATACTGCAATTGCTTAACATTTCTTCGATAACATTCAGTCTTGCTGCGCAGTTGTCTGGATCTATTGATGTGTTTTTGCTTTATCAAGGCTTTTTTTGAGCTCCTAGAAATTTTTTTTTGCCTATCGCTGGAATGACTGAGTTCTTTTATGAATACTGAGTTTAGACATAGAGAGAGGATTTTAGAGCTGTAAGCTTATCTTATAATTGAACATTGGGAATACTTTAATAATTGGATTCGAACCTGCAACTTAGAAAGCATTATGATCCCTAGTAACCAAAATGGTTCAAATGAATTACAATGACCTTCCTTGGGAACATCAATGTAATACATATGGACGCAGGGGCGTAGCCAGAAAATTTTTAAGGGGGGGGGCCCATTTTCGAAAATTAAAAAACCGTTATTTTGTATCCTTAAATCTATATTCATTCTTCATAAGTTTAAATATTGAATTCATTATTCATTCATTAAATTTAATTTTTCGTGCTGATTTTGAAATTTCTTTCATCATTTCCTCTACATTAACTGGTTCTTCTCTATAAATACTTAATAAAACAATTATCAGATTTTCGTAGGGGGGGCCCGGGCCCCCTATGGCCCCCCCTGGCTACGCCCCTGTATGGACGGTTATGGATACTAGGGATTGCTTCTTGAGTGTTGCTCAATAACTGATTTATATGACTAATTTGATTGAACTATGGGATGTATAATTAGAGCTTTAACTCACATAAAGTTTTCCTACTAGGACAAGGAAACTTCAGTTGGGCTTTCTCATTTGGACTAGGTAAGAATCATCTAAGCATCCTCAACTAGACTTTGCATCTTCTTCATGAACTTGGTTTTTCTACACAAGTTTATTATAGTTCAATTGCCATCTACAGGAACTTTTATAGGAAATATAAACTTTTAAACAAGATATAGCATAATCCCCGAGCTGGAAGTCAGCCCACATAACATTGCGAACAACACCGATAAAATTCCTTTGAAAAAAGTCATGGAAATTTGAATTATTCTAAAAATACTTTCGGATACTTGATTACAATAAACAAACGGATCAAAAGTATCACTTGTATTTTCTGCTGTTGTTGTTGCCTTGACAGCAACACTGATCCAGTATAATTTTCATTACTTGAAAGCTTTTAGTATCATTTTATGCTCTCTGTAGACCTTTCAATCTTATTATTTCTGTCGTCGTTGTCGTTGTTTCTTTCATTTTTGCATTCTGTGAATGCGAACTTCTAATGACTCACAACTCAAAACCTTATGTAATAGAAGTAAAATTCAGTTGACCACAGCCTGTACACAATTGTATTTTAAAATATTTTTTTTATATCGATTTTTGTTCCCTCTTTGCTTCGAAAGAACCTAAAGGTGAAAGAAATAAATAGATGTGGGCAATTGTGTACGATGAATGGGGGGAAAATAAGCTTGCATAAAAATTAATAGTTTCAAAGCCGAAATGTGATTGCCTTTAGACAAAATTGCAACCTTTAAATGGAAGGCCGAAATAATACATTCAAACCTATAAATATGACGTTTGTTTTCGTACGTGTACTTACAATTTGATAGCTATATATGCACAGTATAATACTTAAACATTTTCTACACTCTTTTGCATACTTTTTGTTTAACGAAAAGCTGATGAACTTTCAATGAAAAATTTGAATTTACGTAAATACGAGAAACATTGAATGATAAATTGATGAATGAGAAGGTGTATGGAGTTGTTTGGATGTTATGGAACGCGTAGCTGGTAACTGTTTTAGTTTGGTTTACATTCATTTTTGGACATTTTCGTTTATACATGATAAAGTTTTAGCAATGATCTAAATGCAGTAATTTATAGCTGATTACTCAGAATCATCTCAAAGCTATGGTTCGAATCCTATTTAAAAAAAGGAGGTTTTTAAGTGGTAGACAAAGATGTGAGGCTTTTAAAGGGATTTAAAGTATTTCAATTACAAATTTTAAATTGATAGTGGATCAAACTGCAGCTATTTCCTTCCCTAATCCCATGGTTCGCTTTTCATAGATATTTAAAATGCAAACAAACCCCTTTGAAGACGTTTAGAATTTTTAATATTATTATTATTACGATTATT